CCCTGAGAGGCAGCTCAGAGGCCATGCATGGTCCACTCAGCCAGGCTTCAAATCCTGTCCCTGCTGTTTACCAGTTGGGTGACCAAACAAGTCACTGAATTCCTCTGAGCCTCTGTTTCCTTATTTGTAAAAAGAGTAAATTACAGTACCCACTTGACAGGGTGTTATGAAAAACATTAGATGGAAAAAAAAAATTAAATGAGTCAGTACACGAAAATGCTTAGCACATTCTTGGGCAGTGGACTAGAACTCAGTAATGTTGACTGAGAAGCCCCAAGCACTTCTGAGATGGTGGCCCCTTCCCTCCACTTTGCTCTGTGGTCCAGTGCTCAGCAGTGAAAAAAAAGGGAAGGCATACACACACACACACACACACACACTGTTTACATGACAAAATTTCTGTTGAACTGTAAACAAATCTTTAAAAAAAAATCCTATTTTTCCATGGAGTGGGACTATGGGGGGATTTTAACTTTTACACTATATAGCTCTGTTTATTATGTTAATTTTATACTCAGAAAAAATAAAGATATTTAAAAATTGCTACTGCTAACTGTATGCCAAGCACAGTGTCAGGCACTTTTGATACGACCCTAACCCTTTCGACATCCTTCCCATGATGGTCATATTATCCTCATGTTAGCAGGTGGAGGCTTAGAGAAGTGAAGTGATCTGATCAAGGACACACAGTTTATCGATGATGATGCCAGGATCTGACCCCAGTATTGGAATCTGGGGTACAAAGCCATTCTACTTGGTAGGTCAGGGAAAGCTTCACAGAGGAGGGGCTATTTGAGCTGAGCCTGGAAAGCTGAGTAGGACTTCTCCAGGCCTGGGTTCTCAGCCTGGTGTGATTTTGACCTAGGGGATATTTGATGAAGCCTGAAGGCATTTTTGGCTGTCAGAGCTTGGGGTGGATCATGCTACTAGTATCCAGTGGGTAGAGGCCAGGGATGCTACTAAACAGCCCACAGTGCACAGGTTTGCCTTGCATAACATAGACTTGTGTGTGTGAGCGCTCAGTCACTCAGTAGTGCCCAGCTCTTTGAGATACCATGGACTGTAGTCTGCCAGGCTCCTCTGTCCATGGGATCTCCCAGCAAGGATACAGGGGTGTGTTGCCATTTCCTTCTTCAGGGGATCTTCCAGACCCAGGAATCCAACTTGCATCTCCTGCATCATCCTATATCGGCAGGCAGATTCTTTACCACTGTGCCACCTGGGAAGCACTGCATAACATAGACTTATCTGGCCCCAAATGTTAATACTGCCAAGTATGATGTAACATACTAGAACTGTCATTTATTGAGTGCTTACTATGTGTCAAGTGCAGTACCAACTTCTGGCCAATGTCATCTTATTGAATTCAACCCCAGTATTCCCATGCTGTGAAGGAGGTTCCTGAGGCTCAGAGATGATAAGGAACTTTCCTAAGGTCACACAGCCAGAAATGGTACTGCAGACTTGGAGCTGCCTGAGTACAAAGCCAGAGCCCTTTATCTCTCTGCTCTGCTGCGTCTAGGATTTATAATAAATGAAAATAGCTCCAGGCTAACTGTTAGGAGAAGGGGAGGTGTGAGGAGACTCCCGCTGAGCCAGGAGTAGCCTCCTCTGGCCTCAAGGCCTTGGGAAAGGGGAGAATCCTCTCCTCCCTGCTCTGCCATTTCCCCATCTGTCAAAGGAAGTTTGTACCAGATGATCTCCAAGGCCCTGCTGGCTCAGAGTCTGTTATTCTCCAGGAGAGGGGCCCAGCCCAGACCTCAGGAGCCCTGGGGACAAGCCACCAGCTGCTGGGAGAGGAGGGGGTGTGACAGACAAGCCCAGTCTCATTTCCAGTGCATAAATAGCTAATGAGCCCCACTTCCCCATAAACAGAGCGGGAGTCATGGGGAGTGGCTTGAGCCTCACCCAGCAGCTTACTTCTCCACGGGGGAGGATGTTTCTCTGCCACTTTCTTGCCAAGCCCAAAGGAGGTACCAAAACAAGGCCTCCTTCTCAGGTGAGAGGCAGCTCTGGGCAATGGCCCAGCTGGGCACTTGAGGTCTCATATGTAAAAGGAGAAAGGATGGGAGTGCGTGCTGACCCAGCCCCTAACCTGTGCCAGGCATCTCAATAGCAGATTCATTTCAGGTCAGCCTCATGAAAATCCTGGGAGGAAAGAATCATTCTGATGCCAGTTTACAGGCGAGAGCCTGGAGGCTTCCGTGAAGAGATGTGCCGATTAGACAGACAGGGCTGAAGGAAGGTTTGGAACCTAAATGTGACCGACCCCAGGACAGTACACTAGAGGGTGAGTGAGTAGCAGTCTTATTTTTCTTTTCACCCAAGAATGACAGTGTTCCAATAAACGTTTGGAGAAAATATATGTTCACTTTCTCCTGCCTGTCCCAGGTCATAGAACAGACGACAAACCCCTACAACACCATAATTTGGATTTGCTGGTTTGCAGACAGGGGATTCAAATGTCGGAAGGGAGTTCTCCCTAGCTAGAAAGTCAGACAGGGAGAGGTGGGGCTGAGAGGCAGGGACAGGATCTGGCTAGGTCAGGCTGAGCTTTCTAGGCTGGCCCTCTCACTGTCTGATAGTGTGACTTTGAGTATGTCGCATCACCTCTCTGGACCTGTCTGCACATCTACATAATGAAGAGGATGGACAGATGGTTTCAGACAGAGTCCCTCCAAACTCTTACTACCTGCGCCCAGTCCTGTCCAAGCTTCTCTCCTTCTCCCTGTTTGTGTGACTTCATAGACGGGGAGATGGAGACACCAGAGCCTGGCACAAGGGGCTCTGAAAGTAGAGGGCCAATGCCATCCTTGTGCCAGCTCCCAGAGCCCCCAGCCCTTGCTCTCCATCCCCAAACAGCCAAACTGAAAGGGAGTCAGAGGTGGTTTGGGAATTAAAGGAACAAGGAGCAGATGAGGTGAAAAAAGGGTCATTTCTCCTAGGACCAGGGTATCTGCTGATGCAGGCTGGCTCACAGAGACTCATGTATAAGGTGGGTGACCCTCTACAACAGGGAAAATAGTCATTTAGCTCCTGCTTAAGGAGTCAAAAACCTGCTTCCAAAGGCTCTACAGTCTGGGCCAACTTAGGTCAGGGCTGGTCATTCATTCAACCTTTACTGATATGCGCTGTGGGCCAGGCCTTGGGCCAGGCTTTAGGTCCACAGATATGATGACTAAGAGACTGTCCCTTCTCTTGGGGACTGTGTGCTAGTCTGGTATCCTGAGGCCAAAGACACAAGGTTTGCTAGATTTAAATGGTTTAGCTTGAGAAAAAGATTCCAGGCTCACAAAAGCTTGGGAATCATTTTATTAAACACAGCAAGATGGGTTTCTTTGCTACGAGATTTCTCCAAGCCTTTAATATGCAAATGTACACTGAGAATTCTCCAAGGAGGGTATAGAGAATGTACTTTATTTCCTAATTATAGCTAATCTTGGAGCACTATTTTTTTTTTTTTAATGTTTGGAGCAGTTTTATTTATGATAGCCAAAAAGTAGGTACAATCCAAATGTTCATCAATTGATGAATGGACAGATAAAATGCAGTATATCCATGTTGTTGTTGTTGTTTAGTCATCAAGTTGTGTCCAACTCTTTTGTGACCCCAAGGACTAAGCCCGCCAGGCTCCTCTGTCCATGAGATTTCCCAAGCAAGAATACTGGAGTGGGTTGCCATTTCCTTCTCCTTGGAGCACTATTTTAATATTTATTTTTATTTACTTATTTGGCTATGCCGGGTCTTAGTTATGGGATGTGGGATCTTTAGTTGCAGTGTGTGGGCTCTAGTTCCCTGACCAGGGATCAACCCCAGCCCCCTGCCTTGGAAGTGTGGAGTCTTAGCCATTGGATCATCAGAGAAGTTCCTGGAACACTATTTTTTTTAAATATTATACTTATTAACAAAGACTGCAGTGTTAATGCTATTGTTTTGGAGTCTAGAGAAGGCTTACATCGAGAGGGCATTTAAGCAGGGCTTTGAGAGTTGAACAGGAGTTGGTCAGTGAGGATGTGAAGGCTGCAGGGAGATCAGTTACAGTCCTAGGCTGACTATGATCAGGCTACCTACACTGTTTCACATAGTCCTCAAGATCCTGATGTGGGCGACAGAGCTAAAGAGGTCACTAAAAGTCCCTGGAAACTCCTAGAGGTCCACTCGCTCTCTTTTCTTGAATCACCTCACCTCAGGGTCTTATTACACAAATCTTGAGTCTATCCTCTCTCTCAATTAGCTTCTACTGTGATTTCAACTCAGAACGATTTTTTACAGTATCTGAATTTGATCCCAATCTTAGACCCTCACACACCTTTCTCTAGCCCCTGGCACCCAAATCCAATCTCTCAGTAGTTTGCTGACCCTCTAGACCCTCTCTTAGATTTAACCCTGACCTGCCCAGTGATTTAGCCCAAGTACTGATCCCTAGGTCCTGATGCATACCTGATTGAATCCCCAAGGTCTTCGTGCCCCAAAGCCTGCAGCTCAGCTACAATGTCTAGTCCAGACTCATCCTCGGACGGCGGCCCCACCCCCTGTCCAGTCCCGACTTTGTTCCCATCCCCCACCTGTGTCTTTGTCCCCAACTCAATCCTGAACCATTTTTACGTGGGCAATGTCTCCAGGTCCTACTCTAGGACCTCCCATAGTGGCCCTGCCTTTGCCCAGCTCTGATTCGGCCCCGTCCCTAACCTTGCCCCAGCCAGTACAGCTCTGATCCTATTTGTCCCCGCCGTCCCACTCCATTGGTGCTCTCTCCCCCAGCCATGGACCCACAGCCTGCTTCAGTTCTGACACCCAGCCTGGCGAACTCGGCTCAAGGCCCCACCCTCAACACCGCCTCCTCGCCGCGGCCCCGCCCCGTCCTAATTCTGATAGGGCCCTGACCCTGCCGGAGGCCCCGCCCTATGGCAATTCTGACTGGGCCCTGACCGCGCGGTCCAGCCCCGACCACGCCCCCGGCCCCGCCCCGACCCCGCCCCCAGGCCGAGCGAGCAGCTCACCTGCAACTCCTCGAAGGCATCATCGATGCCGGTGACCTGGTGCTGCTCGTGTAGCGCGGGTTCATCGCAAAAGAAGCAGAGCAGTGCGCGGTCCGTGAGGCAAAAGAGCTTGACCTTGTCGTGTGCCTGGCAGGGTCGCGCGGCCCGGCGCGCGTTGAGGATGGCGTCCAGGGGGAAGGCGCTGTAGCGCTCCACGATGTTGGCCAGCTTGAGGCTGGGCGCGAGCGCGGGCTCCGCAAACGTGCGCCGGCACTCGGGGCAGTCGCGGGCGCCCTGCGCCTCCTGCCTCACCCAGTGCTCGGTGATGCAGCGGCGGCAGAAGTAGTGCTCGCAGCCCAGGCTCACCGGGTCCTGGTAGATGCTCAGACAGATGGAGCAAAGCAGCTCGTCCTTGAGACTGCATGCCATGGCGCCAGGGGCGGTGGAGAGGGTCCCCCCGAGATGCAGGGGGCAGCGGGGAGAGCGCGGTGCTGTCGGGGGCAGCCTGGGAATGGGTGCCAGGAGCAGGCCCGGAGAAGCAGGAGCTACAAGAGAAGGAAGAGGTGTTGTCCGGGAGCGGGGTAATGCGAGTAAGAGGTCCGGGGTAGAGACTATCCGAGAAGCGAGCCCAGGAAGGTGGTCTCGAGGTAGTGGGTGACCCGGAGCGATGGGTGCTGGAGGGAGGGGGCCGTGGGTGTCTGAGGGAGGATGCTCCTAGCAAGCTGCGTCTAGGGAAGGGGGCAGTCCCGAGGGATGGGTGCTGGGAGAAGAGGATCAGGGAGGGGGGCGGAGGCCTTGGGGGGCTGTAATACCAGGATGGGTGCGGTGGGGGGAGGGGGAGAAGCTGGGGATGAGGAATTCTCGAGGAGGGGGAAGAGCCGTCCCTCGGCTGTGCCTGGCAAAGGAGAGGAGGGGTGTGAGCAAGCTCAGCTGCTCGATCCCGGCCCCAAGACCAGTCCCCGCGCGGCCTCTTACCCGGCTCAGAGGCCACTGCTTCAGTCCCAGCGGAGCCTCTCAACCCGGAACCAGCCGAGCCAAAGCTGCCGGCGGCCTCGGCTCCCTCCCCGCCCCCGCGGGCGGGGACCCAGTGACTCCGCCCTCGCGGCGGGCGGGGGAGAGGAGGGGCAGGGCCCGGACTCCAGCCTGCGAAACCCCTCCCCGCCCCCACCATTCTCCAGCTCCCAGGGGTGCGAAAGCCAGCTGTTCCTTCAGGGTCTGCACTTGGAACAATATCCAGGTCTCGCTTGGCGTCCCTGCGGCGGAGGTGGGGGGTGGGGGTGGGGGGCGGGAGAAGTGGGCCCGCTAATTTGAGAGGATAAGGAGTATAGGATCTTTTTGGATCATCAATGTGAAGATTGGTGAAAAATAATATTTTGTATTAAAACAAATACAGGTATGTTGTTTAATCTGCGTAGAATACAACTTTTGCATAAAATGTAAAGATAAAACTCGAGAAATACCCTGCTTGCTTAGAGCAAGTTCAAGACCCTCACACTTCTAAGCCCTGGGGTCCCCATTTCCTCTTCTCTTTCTTAAGCAGTGCTAGTGGCGGAGGTTGGAAAGTCCTGGCCCTGACTAATATCTGACCCGAGGAGTTGTCTCCACTCAGCAAGCATTTCTGGAGTGCTATAGTATGAGTGCTGTATTGTGAAGAGGGAGAAAGAGTAATAGGAGAGCTGGTCTGCATGCCAGATGGAGAGGGGTAAGGGATTTCTAGGCAGAGGGGGCAGCATCTGCAGGAGCATGGAGGTGTGAAAGGGAAGGAAAATTTTGGGGAAGTGTGAATGATTCTCTGCTGTTGGGGTTGGGTGGAAAAGGGGCTAGAGTGTGGTGGAGAGCGTTGAGGGTCTTGCTGAAGGATTTCCTGAAAGCATTGAACTTTCAAGCAGGGGACTGACCTGGTCTGATGTGGGTTTCAGGAAGTCAAGGAGATGCTTATTATCCCATCGGCAAGATGAAAGCGGACTCTCTGATTTGCCCGCATATGTGCAGTGCTCTGTGGACAGTGAAGGTGTGTAGCTCAGTAACAGTAGCAAAGATGTGGATTTCAAGAGGAGAGACTGGGCAGCAGTAGATTAATGTCGTCATGCCTGCAGGTGATGAGACCTGAATTGGCGCCATGACAGTGGGTAAGGAGAGAAAAACAGGGTACTGAAGGTATAGACACTCTGAAATTTTGTAATGGATTGAACATGGAGTGAGAAAGAAGGAGGCATGAAGGTGGCTCCCCCGTTTCTGGCTCCACCAGCAACGTCTTCACTGGCGTTAAACTTTATCAAAGCACAATTTAAGAAAAAGCTTGACATTTACCCCTCTGCTATTTATGTGTCCTCCATCACATCCTTAGCTGGTTTCATGTCTCCATCATTGCCAGAAATAAATTGGTAGCTCATGTAACAACTATTCATGGATTTTTCCTTGCAGTCAGAGCCCTGATTTTGTTCAGGTGCTCCCCCACTTCCCCATGTGACCAAGGGTTGGCTGACCCCAGTCCAGTTCTAGGAATAAGCCCTGTTCAGTCGAAATCCATCATGATGGTTACATTCCTCTTGCCAGTGATGGCTTAGGTTTGGACATATGATGCAGGTCTGGCCTTAAATACCAGAGGGGAATCTTGTAGCAAGGAGACAGCTTCTGCAAAGGGTCTCTTCCCTATCAAAACCAGTCTGCCCCTTTTGCTGGATGTACTTGTATGTGTTTGGTGGTGATATTTGGAATTGCTCCCAGTCTGAGGATGCAGCCAATACATGACAGAGGCTGGGAGAATCCTGGGGAAGAGGAGCTGGTACACTGATGGAGAGTCTAGACTTTTGGATATATGAGATGGTCCGTCTTATTGCTTAAGCAGGTTTAATAGCACTGTGCTTTCCCTTGGCGAACAAAAGAATCCCAAATGATACACTGATATGTACCTTCATTTTTTTTACAAAGAGGGCAGGGTCTAAATTATTGAAGCATTTGAAATGAAAAAAGGCTTGATGATGGATGAAGCAGTGGGCTTCATTTATTCAATATGTAATCTGTCCTCCTCTTCGATAGCAATATAGTAGCTGGAGAAAGGATGAGTCTGCTAGGTACCACATTTTCCAGCTGCTCTTGCAGCTGAGTGTGGTTTTGTGACTAAATCCTTTGTAATAAAATATAATAGAAATGGTCCTAAGGCACGTGCTCTTCTGTGTTCCATTTCCTCTTCCCTCATGGTGTCTCAGGTGGTAAAGAATCTGCCTGCAATGCAGGAGACCTGGGTTCGATCCCTGGGTCAGGAAGATCCCCCAGGGAAGGAAATGGCAACCCACTCCAGTATTCTTGTCTGGAGAACCCCATGGACAGAGGAGACTGGTGGGCTCCATGGGGTTGCAAAGAGTCAGACATGACTGAGCAACTACCACTTTGACTTTTCATGTTGAAACGCAGACGTGTAAGGAACCCAGCTTCAGTAATGCTCCAGTGAGGCTGACAGAGCAAAGATGAGGAAGGAACCTGGGCTTCTGAATGACTGCGTAGAGTGGCCCACCTTCCAATGTGGACCAGAGAGTGAGAAATAAACTTCCACTTTCTAGAAGCCTTTGTTTTGGGGGCTCTGTTGTAGCAGCTTAGTCTACCCCATGCTACCCTATAGCTGTTTTTAGAAGAGGCTTTGGTACTATTTTATGCTATTGTCTAAATCTTTTCAATAGCTAAGTTCCTCTTAATCTAGCGCCAGTCTCTTCTAAAAAGTATAGAACATGGTTTTCTCTGGCTGAAAGTTGCAGTCTCTTAGACCCATCACAGTTCTTTCCAGCTTTCAATCTTTTTGCCCTTTGAGTTGTTGTTCTTCTGAATTTACCCCCATTTCCACTAAGATACTGGGCACTACACTCCTGCAGACTGTTAGTTATATTTGTTTGGCAAGTCATTGCTCTTTCTGGATATGTTTCTCCAACCTGATGTGGCTGAGAGGTCCATCAAGACTTTGTGATCCTGACTGCAGGGTATGCCACCCACTTCTATTCATACTCTAAAGAATAATATCAGGAGTTAAAATTATTTTTCACGCTATCCAAGAGATGTTGTTGAGTGATTAAAAAAAAAAGGGAGAAGGAGACCCCATAAACACAGATACATGGACATGGGCACATGCAGCCCTACGCATGCTCACAGGCATTTATATAGCAAAAGTCTGTAGACCACTATAGCAATCCTAACTGTGTTTACATGTAGGCTAGGGTGAGGGGGACTTTAATTATGACACTGTATAGCTCTGTTTGCTTGTTGTTTAATTTTATAATCAGAAAGAAAGATTTGCAATACAGTAGAGATTGGCATAACAATGTAAATCAACTATACTTCAATAAAAAAAAAGACAGTTGATTCTCATCTTCATGGCTTCTATATTTGCAAATTCGCCTGCCCCTCAAATTTACTTGTAACCCCTGCACCCCCAGTCAACACTTGAGGTGTTTTCATTGTCATTTGTGGACACACACAGGCCCAGGGTAGCAAACATTTAGATTGTCTGATACACAACAGAGGTAGAACCAGTCTTCTTGTTTCAGCTCTCATACTATCAACTTTTCATGATCTTTTCAGTGCCACTTTTTTTTTCTCACTTCTGGGTCTTTTTGTTGGTGATTTTGCTGTTTTAGAAGAACTCCCAAGCATGGCACTAAAGTGCTGTCCAGTGTTCTCAAGTGCACCAAGGCTGCGATGGGCCTTGGGGGTTGGAGGCAGTTGGGGGAGTGTGTTTGATAAGCTTCATTCAGGCATAAGTTATAGTGCTGCTGGCCATGAGTTCAACGTTAGTAAATCAACAACATATATTAAATAAGGCATTTTTAAACAGAAACACACTTAAAACAAGGTTATGTATTGATTGGTTAACAAAAATGCAGCCAGAGGCTCCCAGGAACCTGCCTCTGTATTTCCTCAAGGGGCAATGATTCAGCATTCCCTATTTCAGTCTCTGCAGTGACTTAGTGGAACATAACTATGTGAATGTCAAGAGTCACTTGTGCTTAAAGTTGTGTCTAACAGCAGTCATCAATAGGAGGTACCAAACTCCATGCCCCTTTCCCTCCAGGTAACATTGGCTTGAGGACTTCCTCAGTGGCTCAGTGGTAAAGAATCCGCCTGCAAAGCGGGAGATGAAGGTTTGATCCCTGGATTGAGAAGATCTCCTGGAGGAGGAAATGGCAACCCACTCCAGCATTCTTGCTGGAAAAATCCCAGGGACAGAGGAGACTGGTGGGCTGTAGTCCACGGGGTCGGACACGACTGAGCCCCGGAGCTCAGAGAATGTGTAGCACACCATTGGCTCAGGTCTGTCAAAGGGGGAGCAGCGAGAGAATGAACGTGGACTGGGCCGCTTCCGTGTGTCAGGTGCTTGGTGTCCATGACTTTTATTTAATCCTCTCAACAGCCCTCCAGACTTGTCCTTTTTCTCCCGCTTT